GGGGGGGACATAAGTCCCCGGGCGCCGACCTTAGGGGGGGGGGCGCCAAATTGAAAGTTTGAGGGGGGGGGTGCAAATGAAAAGTTCGAAGGGGGGGGGTGCAAATCGAAAGTTTATCCCCGGGCGCCGGGAAGGGTCGCTACGCCTTTGATCTTTAATTCAAGGATGGTACATGTAAAATGTTTTTAGTAGAGGATGGTATATTTGATGAGTAATTGATACGACATAGGTCTTACTTATGATGGTATTCTAGACAAAGATGGTACCTCTGATAGGTCATCTAGTTAAGGATGGTACTTATGATGATTAGAAAATATAGGTAGTGCATTTGATGGGCAATTTAGACTATACAGATGGTAAATTTGATTGTTATGTTAGACAATATAGATGGTAAATTTGATGGGTAAAGTAGACAATATAGATGGTAAGTTTGATGGGTAAGGTAGACAATATAGATGGTAAATTTGATTGTTATGTTAGACAATTAAGATGGTAAATTTTATGGGTAAGGTAGACAATATAGATGGTAAATTTGATTGTTATGTTAGACAATATAGATGGTAAATTTGATGGGTTAGTTGGACAATGAAGATGGTAAATTTGATGGGTAAGTTGGACAATATAGATGGTAAATTTGATGGGTAAGTTAGATAATATAGAAAAGTCATTTAATGGCTGATAGACAATATTGAATGCACATTTGATGTATCTTCTAGACATGTTCAATGAGGCAACTAGACTTAACAACATTAATCAGAAGAGAGCTATATTGTGGCAATAATGCCAATCCCTGCCGCCCTCTTGGGCATAGACAGGGCATCGGGTTTGAGCAGGCTTGTCATGATGTAGACTCGCAATTTGCTTAAATAAACCGACGTAAATTCTCATTTATGAAATTTAGAATAATCTTCGTCCTTGGGTTTGTAGGCTTAAGAGATATACGCAGGGAGAACTTAATCCTGTCCTCAAATATAACTCACTTTTACGCTCTAACACTGCTTTTACACACACACACACACACACACACACACACAAACACACAAACACATACACACACACACACATGCACACAAAGTGCATATGGACAGTAACACACACACACAAAACACTGAAAGCAATGTGTCTCCCATACATACATATTGTGAATGAAGCAGATTATTAATAATGGCAGATAACTACAGATAACCACAGATAACCATAGATAACCATAGAACGATGATGACACTTTCATTCGTCTGGGCAGTAAACAAGATGGAAGATAAGCATAGATGATACATTTTCTGTGGCGGGAGGGGTGTCGGGGGAGGTGACCGTAGGGCAGAGAGTAGATCACGTGATAGGGGACAGACTAGAGCATAGATCACGTGATAGTGGACAGACTAGATCACGTGATAGGGGACAGACTAGAGCATAGATCACGTGATAGGGGACAGACTAGATCACGTGATAGGGGACAGACTAGATCACGTGATAGGGGACAGACTAGAGCATAGATCACGTGATAGGGGACAGACTAGATCACGTGATAGGGGACAGACTAGAGCACGTGATAGGGACAGACTAGAGCATAGATCACGTGATAGGGGACAGACTAGATCACGTGATAGGGGACAGACTAGATCACGTGATAGGGGACAGACTAGAGCATAGATCACGTGATAGGGGACAGACTAGATCACGTGATAGGGGACAGACTAGATCACGTGATAGGGGACAGACTAGAGCATAGATCACGTGATAGGGGACAGACTAGAGCATAGATCACGTGATAGGGGACAGACTAGATCACTTGATAGGGGACAGACTAGATCACGTGATAGGGGACAGACTAGAGCATAGATCACGTGATAGGGGACAGACTAGAGCATAGATCACGTGATAGGGGACAGACTAGATCACGTGATGAGGGACAGACTAGATCACGTGATAGGGGACAGACTAGATCACGTGATAGGGGACAGACTAGAACACGTGATAGGGGACAGACTAGAGCATAGATCACGTGATAGGGGACAGACTAGATCACGTGATAAGGGACAGACTAGATCATGTGATAGGGGACAGACTAGATCACGTGATAGGGGACAGACTAGATCACGTGATAGGGGACAGACTAGATCACGTGATAGGGGACAGACTAGAGCATAGATCGTGTGATAAAGTTTAATCTAGAGAACCGGCAACATTTTTATGGGAAAGTCGAGGGAATGTGATACATATTACAGAGGTAGGCCAGGGGAATACATGCCACATATCGATGATAGAATAGAGAAAATTCTACATACGAGACTGTAGAATAGACCAAAAATAGATAACATGACAGGGGACTGATTAGAGAATGGAGCAGGTCATAAAGCTTTCGTCAAGAATACAAAACGTGACAGAGAGTAGATAGCTTGACAGAGAATAGATAACGATATATAAAGATAACGTGACAGATAATTGATATTGTGACAAAGAATGTATACCGTAATAGACAGTAGATATGATAACAGAGAATAGATAAGATAACAGAGAATAGATAGTATGACAGAGATTAGATAACACGGCAGAGAATATATAACATGGCAGAGAATAGATAATAATGTACGCGAAAGAAAGACAAAACTAGAGAAGAGAAACTAAAATGACCCGAGAATTATTATTCGGATTAAATATTAAGTGCATATAAAAAAAGGAAGGCGTGGCCGCAAATATGTAAACAATGTACATGAATTTATTTGTAGTGCAAGAATGTAGATAATAAGGCAGAGAAAAATATTCGATGAACATTTATTTTTATGCTTTAAAGGCATCGATGATACAATAAAACTTACAATAGCCTAGGCATTAAGCTAGAGAGTAGAAAAAGAGAAATCTTACTTAAAAACGATAAGAAAAATTGACAAAGAAAAAAAATATACGTTCTGCAACACTAAATAGCCGACATGTAGATGTGTAAACACAACACCTCATACGCTACACATCTAATGTAAATAATCTTACATTGTGTACCATCTGTTAACGATGTTCACCTGTTTTTGGTGTCCAAAAATAGGTTCATCTGTTCTGTATTTCTTTGTTTATTAACATATTTACTACTTCTTTAGAATGCATTTCTTTTTGTGCACATTACTACACACTGACGATTAATGTTTACTCTCTCTCTCTCTCTCTCTCTCTATCTCTCTCTCTTTATATATATTTATATTTATATATATATATATATATATATATATATATATATATATATATATATATATATATATATATATATATATATATATATATATATATATATATATATAGGCCTATATTTTTATATTTATATTGATATATTTGTGAATATATATACATATATATACACACACACATATATATATGTAAGACAAACATTGATTGGCTGTAAAGGAACTCCGTGATCGAATTCTGACAGCCCCACTTTATAGTTATTTTGTTTACAAAACTTTGCAGATCAAGTTTTTAAATAACTATGCAAATTTAAACACCATGACCTATTTTTTCTATTTTTAGCTTACAATGTGTACAATAAAATTTATGGCGGCCATTGTTTATGTCGCCATTACACGTGAAAACCTAATTGTTTTCGCTTTTTTTATTTAGTTACCGAAAATATTAAAAACATAAAATACTTCCAATCTTTAGTAAAGTCCGAAAAAAAAACCCAGACAGACATGATTTTATAACCATTTTAATTGTAACTACGCCGTGCAAGATTTTAAAATTAATTTATGCACCTCTCAAATACCTTTGAGACTTTTCTCGCTGGTGTCCATTCTAATCGATGCAACTAGTTGGTGTTACGTCCCTTACTTGTAGCGTCCCCTGATTGTGTCTGTTGTGTGTTCGAACAACAGGTACTTTTTTTGATTATAGTTGTATCCCTTGGTTGAGTGTGTTTACATGGAGCGAGAAGTGTTCACGTGAGGTGTGTCAGGTGACGGGTGGCAGAGCGTGTGCTAGGGTGTGTAGCTGTTGGTTGGCGTGTGACTATGGAGGAGGACGTGGAGTGTGTTAAGTATTGTGTTTTGTCTTAGTACTATTTAATAGCATCATTAGTGTTATCTAGCTTGTTTTATTATTCACTATACGTTGTATTGTCCTGAATACCCCCAGTTAGAAGAAGCCAACAGTAAGTGGGGGGGGGGGGGGGCGGGGGGGGGGGGTCATCCATAAATGACCTCCTTTTATTTTTAAACCTTTAAAAGGTCCCCCTACCCAAAGAAACATACGAGGTCAAAAAATACTAAACTGCCACGCTCCTATCTCAGCCTCCAACTTTAAATAGAAGGGTTAGTTTTTGTTTGTTTTGCTGTATAATCATCTCTATAAGTGTACTTAAAGATACTTATCTAATTAGATTCGTCCTACATGGTTTACATATACATGTTAATTTATATTTATTTAATAATAATCTAGTTAAAATGTGTGATATTTAATAATGTTACATGCAACAATAGCATCGCTCTATATGTTAGATATAGGGAGTTGAGATCTAACAGTTACTTCCAATTTAGAAATTCACATTAACCAAGGGAAATAGCCTTTTGCAATATTACATGAAGTCTAAAAACAAAACAAAAAAAAAAGAAATTCACTTGAAAAAGAAATAGCATTGTATTATAAATTTTAAAGTAAATATTAAAGTTCTGCACGTTTTTTGTTTTGTTATTATGTTTTATTAAATGGAATTATTAATTCTAGATAATAGATTAAATGAAATTGAAAGATTATTAAATGATTAATAGGTAAAAAAGCACACATATATTAATTGAAGTAATTGAACTGTGTCGAATCACATCGCCCCACCATGCTTGTATATGCCTCAATTAAGCCTTAATCATGCCCTCGATATGACTCGGTAACCTCTGTTATACAACCCTACAAACCCAGGTTGATAAAATAGGTACACCATTCATCGATCCCACCCATCCTCTATCCCCGTCAGCTGTTTGTATCCCGACGCCGTCACGTGGCTAAAGCGCGTGAGACGCCCGAGCATGCGGAAAGAGAACTCACCACTGTGGGAGCCGACGGTCCGATCGTGCGGCGATGACGACATGTGACAAGGGAAACAAGCGCGCGAGTGACGGTGGAACCTAATGGTCTGCGTCACTGTTAGGGCCGTACATTCCGGATTGTGTCGTCTGCTGACAGTTTACGCGCCTCAAGTGTGGCACCGCAATGTGAGTGAAAATAAAACACGTTTAAATATAATAGGGAACAGGTTTTTAAAAAAAAATTATTTCTAAACAAATGTTTGGTGATTTTTGTTAAATACAGGAAAATATATTTCTTTATATTCTAGTACATAAACATTGTCGTAGATTATTACTTGTTAATTAAAAATGATTAGCTAGTTTTGCTTTAGTTTAGTTTGATTTAAACATTATTATTTTTCTACAGATTGTTTTGAGTAAATTAATTTTGGTCACTTTATATTTAAAACTGTATGGGAAAACTCATAATATACACACACACCGACAAATTTGTATATATATATATATATATATATATATATATATATATATATATATATATATATATATATATATATATATATATATATATATATATATATGTGTGTGTGTGTATGTGTGTGTGTATGTACATATATACATATATACGTATATATATGTAAATAAATAAATAAATAAATAAATATATATATATATATATATATATATATATATATATATATATATATATATATATATATATATATATATATATATATATCTAACCCGAAGCACGGCATGCGAGGCGATTCGGTGCCGTGTGGCGTAGTGAGTTCGAATCCCGTCTGCCTAAACCGACTCGGTCTTTCCTAGAGCTATAATTTTGTGTACCTGTATCTTCCATTGGCATGGTAATAATAATGCATGTCTGTATAGCTAATATGCAAATATGCAAACAATTTAATTACAACAGGGTCGGTTTCAATTAACTACGTCAAACGATGTATATCTACACTTTTTAAGAATCATTCTATCATGTTTGTCTATTTGCTCGGAAGTTAAGCTGGTGTACAGCAATGCCCCTTTATTTTTTTCTATTGGGTGTTTACTGCGGTGAGTAATTCTTCTCGCCCGTGAATTCAATATGTTAAGTTCACTGGGCCATGAGATGTACCAGATGTTAGAGTGTTGAGTGTGTAGGTGTCGGAGTGTCAAAGTTGAGTTCAGGATACAAAGGTGTGCGTCATGTGGTTATTGAACGGGTGTCAGAAAGGTGAATAACAGTAGGTCTCGTGGTAAGTGAAAAAGTGAGACTCAATAGCCTGTGTTTAGCACTCAGTGAAAAAGTGAGGCACAATTGCACTTGGTGCAAAAGTGATACTTGATAACAATCAGTGTAAAAGTGAGACTCGATAGCACTTAGTGTAAAAGTGATACTTAATATCGTTCAGTGTAAAAGTGAGACTGCATATAACGCAGTGTAAAATTGAGACTTTTTATCACTCAGTGTAAAAGTGAGACAATAACACTCAGTCTAAAAGTGAGACTTAATAACACTCGTTGTGAAAGTGATACTAAATATCACTCATTGTGAAAGTGCTACTCAATAGCTTTTTGCCCCTCTGACACGCTCGGCAGTTAAGTTTCTCCCACACAGCAGTTTGTATGTAAATATGCACTTAGCTAAGAGCTAAGGTGGTAGCTAGCCAAGGTTGTTTTCTCTCAAATTATCTGAAAATAATCATACAAATGTCTCTACCTCTTGCTATTATACTATATATATATATATATATATATATATATATATATATAAGTACATGTATAAATATATTTAAGTACATGTATATACATATATATATATATATATATATATATATATATATATATATATATATATATAATATATATATATATATATATATATATATATAAATACGAGTACTTTGCTTCAAACTATGGATATTATAAGTACTAGTGTACTAACGTATTTTCCAAATTTTGTTTTGTGACCTCTTTTACGTCCTCTAAAAACGAGATCACTGCAGTGACGATCTGCCTCCCCCCCTCCCCCCACCCTCTCCCTCCATCTGTAACAATGTGAAGACGTTGAGACATCCACGCCCCATCATCCCCCCTTGGACCTCTCACATAGCCACCAGCACGATAATGAAGGATCGGGTTACTCTAGTTCATTAGGGTGGTGTTATTAAAATAGTTTTCAATGTCCTGCGATTGATTTTTGTCTGGAATTTCACCCCTCAGCTCTCTGAACAGACTCGTGTACATATTTTTTCATATCTGTGATTCTATTCCAATTCGTATTCCCAAGAAACTTCCTTATCTTTAAATTGTGAAATGTAAAGCTTAGTCATATGACATATTCTATTACCAGTATAATTAAAAACTAATTAGTTTAGTTTATGAGTATGTTAGAAAATATACAACCAGCCCGTAGGGTTGAAAGAGAGGGGAGGGGGGTGGTGTTAAATGTGCATTTGTTTAAAAGATTTCGAATTGAATCCATATCTGTAAGGCGCCCGTATAGTGTAAGGAGTACCAAATATATATGTAAAGCCAGTCTGGGTTTTAGAATTGGTGTCACTCTAAATAGTGTCACTCCCTTAATGGTGTCACTCCCTAAATGGTGTCGCCCCCTAAATGGTGTCACTCCCTAAATGGTGTCACTCCCTAAATGGTGTCACTCCCTAAATGGTGTCACTCCCTAAATGGTGTCACTCCCTAAATGGTGTCACTCCCTAAAGGATGTCGCTCCATAAAAAGTCTCACTCCCTAAAATGTTTTCACTACCTAAATGTTTTCATTCCCTAAAAGGTCTCACTCCATAAATGGTCTTACTCCCTAAAGGATGTCACTTCCTAAATGGTGTCACTCCTTAAAAGGCCTCACTCCCTAAAAAGTCTCACTCCCTAAAATGTTTTCACTCCCTAAATGGTGGCACTCTCTAAACAGTGTCACTCCCTAAACGTTGTCACTCCCTAAAAGGTCTCACTCCCTAAAAGGTCTCACGCCCTAAAAGGTCTCACTCCCTAAATAGTGTCACTCCCTAAATAGTTTCACTCCCAAGATGGTGTCACCCAGTGCCTACCTCAAACCCCGACGTTATATCATGAAGCTACTACCCTAATACTAGTTTGTTGTGGTTCTTTGTGTTCCTCTAAAGCCTGTTTGTACCACATTTTATTTTCTGATTTATTAACTAGTTCGTAGTCCGACTCATTATTTTTAATTATTAAACCGTTTGTGGCTCGGATAATTATTTTTTGGGTATTGAAACGTGTGTTGCTCAGCTAATTAGTTTCGCTAATTAAATCGTCTGAAGTCCGGGTTAACTTTTTAATAGTTTGAAGCTGACTGTAGAACATGAACGGGAATCTTAAAACCTAATCTACTAAGTATTCACTCGTTAGAGTTTCGGAAATAAGTAATCTATTGTATATTTATATTCATATTCTTTCGTATTTTTTGTATGTGCTTTAATATGTTTTGTATATGATGTGTATATATGTTTGTATGGACGTTGTATACGTTTTGTATTTGCTTTGTGTATGTTTTGTATGCGATTTGCACAACTATTGTATATGTTTTGTATATATTTTGTATTATGCTCAGTTCTTTGATTACCGTCTCAATGTTTAAGCTAAACGCTCATTCCCTACAAAATAACTATGACTACAACTTGCAAGCTATACGTTACGGTAAAAGTGACTTAAATAGTAACAAATGTTCCGCACTTTTTTGTGCTTAGACTCACTTGCAGGTCTTTGATCAACTAATTGTAATTTATTTTAATTATAGGTTAATGAGAACTTTTCGTTTACAACCTTAAATTGGAGAAACACAGATGTATGTTTTCTCTATACTTTTAAGTTTTTGGCTACGTTAGAAGTTGGTAAATCTATCAATTTTTCAGGAATCGATTTAATGGTTTAACCTAGCTATCATTGTCTTTATTACGCGTTTAACAGCCTACACATAGTTTATGAAACATTTCAAAATCAGACAAAAAATAAAAAGCTTACAACATATTTGAAAATCAGTAAAGGTATCAGTTTGGTAAATGTATCGCGCATTCATTAAAGTATCGAGGACTGATACAGTATCGAAGGTTTGACGAAAACAGGTAAACGATTACCATTGATTTGCCGCAGCTGTATCTATAATTCTTACACAATCTATTTGTCTTTCAGTAATTAACGAAATTAACTAATTAACACCTGCAAATGAAGAATGACTCTGGATATGTCTGGAATTTATTCCTGAAACAGTTTCAACCCCCCCCCCCCCCCCCCCCCAAGCTAAAGATGCACCAAAGCTATGGCCGATCTAGCGAGTGTTTAGTAAACGTTATTCAAAACACAGATTCCCTTTGAACATTGCCTCACGGATCGAGTAAGTACTCACGTTCAAACGTCGGGAACGAAGGCAGGTTGCGAGTGTAATTTTTACTGTGGTGTTTACAAGGTGTGAGCCGTCTGCTTAGGTGATCAGGTTTAGGCTGGATGTGGTCGGAAATTGTTTAGATCAATACCGGAAACTGGAATAAACTAGATCAGTTCAGATCCGTTCAGATATAGGATGTTTTGAATGCTAGATACAATATATATGTGTGGATATATATATATATATATATATATATATATATATATATATATATATATATATATATATATATATATAATCAGAGGGGTAGCGAGGAGGGGGGGGGGCGGGGGTGCGGACCGGGTGACACCATTTAGGGTTAGGGGGGTGACACCAAGGCAAAAAAAGTAAAATATATAGAGAAAAATTTGAGGGGGGGGGGGGGGGGGTGGTGCAAATCGAAAATTGAAAGTTTGTTTCGGGAAAGAGTCGCTACGCCTGTGGGGGGGGGCGGGGGTGGGTGGGTGACACCATTAAGTGCCGCACCGGGTGACACCCGACCTCGCTACGCCCCTGATATATATATATATATATATATATATATATATATATATATATATATATATATATATATATATATATATATATGTAGATTATATATTAGAGGTTAAAATAGTTTTCGCTGGCAGTAGATTAGAAATGCGAGGTTGAAGAAATGCTACCCTAATTCCTTCAAGCTGTTCGTACCATACAAATCGCGAAAACGAGAGAACATATTTGCTCTTAGTTCATCGAGTACACCACCATTTCCTGCGCCTTTTGTCAGTGAAGTAATTTTTTTTAATGTTATGAGTCATCCTTGATTTTTATATATCCGGCGATTATGTTTGATGACCTTCGACGTTTTCTGGTATATAAAATAAAGTAATTTGGGACTTTTAAAGCGGTGTGGGCTCCTCCCTCGAAAGGGAGATAACTCTTGTATCCATTTAGTGTTGGTACATACCCAAAATAACACGTTTATTGCGCGTGCTATTTTTTTTTTTCTAGACTATCTGGTATAAAACTTCTTGTTACATTCAGGCTGATGATATTGACCTAAACAATTTAGGGTCACGTAGTGCAAAAGTACAATTGATGGACCGGCCGGTGCTTTGAGAGCAAATGTGCAGCCCCTTTCTCATAAAACACCGAAATACTGAACTAGTCTTCTGTACAAGGGGAAGTAAGTCCCAGCATATTCACTCGCTGGTTTCCCTTCACGCAGAATATTAACTCCCCTTTTTTCTTCCCTGACGTAATATCCGATTTCTGGTGGCGGCAAATATTTTGATTTACCAACCAAATAATTGGACCTTTCACCGTCGTCTGATGGGTTCTGTCAGGGGGTCTTCGCGTTCTGCCTCAGATTAAATCTATCCGGTAGACCCAATCTACGCGTGAAATTATTTTCTAAAATATATTCTATTCGTCAGATTAGTTTTTCAAACAATTCTATAACATTCTATTACATTTTCTGAAATACTATTGCTTATTATTAAATTATACCTCAATAATCGTCTGTTATTTTCTAGAACATACAAAATTGGTTATATGACTTGTCAAATGCATATTCTATATTAATAATTAAAATATTCTTTTCTAAAATATCCTTTGAAATCCTTATTCTCCATTTGGGATTATCATTAATGAAGCCGAATTTATTATTATCTTTATTAAAAGTAGGTTTGATTTTAAAAAACATTTGATACATTAATTAGTCAAAAAATTATTTTCAAATTATACATTGTTGTTGTTTTTCAAAACAACTTAATAATCACAATGGAATTATCATTTTTTAAATATATTTAATGATACCGTTTTAAAATTTATTTAAATGTATTAATACTAAATTTTAAAAAATCCTGCGTGTAAGATAATTACAATTTTAATATGTTAACACATTCAATTTCGTGGGTGAATAAGTAATTGACGTGAATCGATCTTGGTGATTAGATTGTCTCCGGTACAGGGCGCTAACTGTGGGATGGTCAAGCACAGAACAAATGGAATTCCCGGCCATTCCAGACGGGTCATCTGATGAGTACATAAAGTTGACCAGATCTCAGCTGTCGGTCAAGTCTGAGTCTTATTGCCGGTGATCTAAGGCTTATGGCCGTCTAGACGGTTTACACAATCCTGGTGTAGGCTCGCCCCTTCACATAATCCGAGTGAAAACACGCCCCTTTACACAATCCTGATGTTAACGCGCCCCCTATCACAATCCTGGAGTAAACACTCCCATGTTACAAAATCCTGGTAAAAACACGCCCCCTTACACAATCCTTGTGTAAACACGCCCCTTGCACAATCGTGTACTGTCATAATCACTCCCCAATAAAAATGAGCGTAATGTCATTTAATGCACCCCTTTATTTAACCCTTTATTTAAACATGGCATAATTTCCAAGACACACACGTTAAATACTCTTTGAGTAATGTCTTTAACACATCCTGTTATATAATCTACGCACACCCCTTACAGAACCTCGAAAATCTTAATAACACCCCCCTACAGAACCTCAAACAAAAATAGTAAACACATTTTAACACATCACTTACAGAAACTTTGCACGATAAACATTCTTTGGGTAATGTCATAAACACTCCCCTCTATAACACATTTTCTGTTTAAATTTGTATTTTTGTTAGGTGTTTTATACTCTTTGAAAAGTTCCTCTTCTCGAACCCGACGGTCTATGGGACTAGTGAAGTAGAGTTCACGTATTTTTCTGTGACTTCGTAATGTTAAGGAAAAGTGTGTTCAGCATTATACCCATCCACCTTTACTTTCCCTTGCGTGAGTTAGGTACCCATCAGAGCTGGGTGGACTCAGGGACGTTCTACTGACTTGAACCCGGATTCGAACTCGAGACTTGCGGGTTAGCAGTCTAGCGCTCTACCGATGGATGATGATTACATAGTATTTTATAGATTTCTTCAATTTTAATATTCTTGAAGGAATTTGTAAACAAACATGAAGCCTTTTGAACTAGCTTCACTAATTGACCCCTTAGCTAGCTTCATTAATTGACCACTGAGCTAGTTTCATTAATTGACCACTGAGCTAGTTTCATTAATTGACCACTGAGCTAGCTTCATTTATTGACCACTGAGCTAGTTTCATTAATTGACCACTGATCTAGCTTCATTAATTGACCCCTTATTCTGAATATCACCTGCTCTTCCTTGTTGTAATATTTCCGAGTCAAATATTTTTCATCTTCTTTTCTCCACAGGAAAATGTCTGCACAATGTCTCATTGGAATGTCCCCTGCATATTTTGTTACTCAACCAATCAAATTGGCCTAAGTCGAACAAAAGGACCAATCTAATTGGCTTAACTCGAACAAAAGGACCAATCATCACCACTTCAACAGCTGCACCTAACGCCTCATTAAGTTTCAACAAAATTTTAAATTCTAATCAGCTTTCGTTCTGATTTAATGACACGATTAGCAGCAACAGCGCTGCCTACGAAAACACAACATATGCTTATTGAGTTCAAATTATCCCTTTAGGGAACTGGAAATTTCGAGCGGATAATTTTATATACTGATCTGGAAAATTTATTCTGGGGAATCCTGTTTTTTTTTCTTCAACAACTGTTTTAGTTTTTCTGGTAATTAGTATAATTGGTGTGTTCAGAAGTTTTTTGTAAGTTGTCACGTCTGAAATAAAAAAAAAACAACAAAAAAAAAACAAAGACAAGTTGTCATCCAGACTAAGAAAAAGAAAAAAAATCTGGTGAATTGTACAAATAATTTTCCCCATTTTGAGCGAGGCGTCAGAAACTCGTGACAGCTTGTATTAAGGTGGATCTGTCGGCCTGTCTGCACCGTGGGCCGCTAATCAATGGACTAAAACACCCAGACTTCCGGCTTTTCTTGGAGGAGATATTCCCACTTCAACGCTGCACCATCCAGTTTTTTTCTCTCTTCTGTAACAGCAGACGTCGGGTTGATGCTAGAAATAGAATCACGCATGTTGAACTTGACAGACGCGGCCGACACTATGGGGTGAGTACGATTTTGATCCTAATTTGTGTGTGTATGTCTTGTATGGGGGCATCTTGGATGATTACGTGAATACGCGTCAACCATGTTTTATACTAGTTAGTCGAAGTTCGTCTTGAAATCAAGCGTCTCTACTATTTGTTAAAACAAATGCATGTTTTACAGGTAATTTTTTGTTAGTTAAAGTGAAGAGTCCACTTGCAATTTCTGTTAAATCATTTCAGGTTGATTTTGAGGAAATCCACTTTTAAATTCTCTTTTGATTAACTATTCTTAGGATTTTGACATTGTGTATTTTAATATATACCTTTTTGAACAGTAATTAGTATACTAATTGAACTGAAACATAATAAAGAAGGCTATGAGAATAACTTTTGAAAAAAAAAATTGGACTGCATGTTTTACAACTGGCCTCCTAATGTATACATTGCATACAATTATCATTGTTCAACTAATTATAATAAAATTACCGTTTTAGGTAGCCTGTTGTTTATCTACACCTGAGTTTATTACCTGCTACCGTCTGCAAGAAAATTAATGCAAGAAATGAAAAGACAATTTGTTTGTCTAACTACACTCTTTTAATTAACATTTAGCTCATCTATACATAAGACATTTGTAAACAAGCTGTTGTCAATGAATACGCTTTCCAAGTACATTCATTTCAATCTTCTATACGGAAGATGTTTGAAAACAAACGTGTGTCTATCTACACGCCATTTATGTAAATTTTAATTTAGTTCTGCTTATTGTCTTTCACCTTAAGTTGAAAGAATATCGTTTTGCTTATTTTCACGTTTACATCATGCAAAATGATACTACACTAGCGTACCTAAAATTAAAATAAACGACAAACGGGTTCAGTGTTTCTTCCAGACTTTTTTCTCCGGGGGGCACTTGATATTTTCGGGGGGGGGGGGGGGGGGGGGACCAACATTTTCCGGGGGGGGGGGGAAGACACTAGTAAAAGTATATTTTTGCTATATAAATTCCATCTCGTTCGGGGCGGGGGGGGGGGGGGGGGGGCGGTAGACTTTCTTCGGGGGGCGTACGAAGAGATGCCTCGAAGAAACTCTGAACAGGTTTTGGAACCTTTGAATGAAAGACAAACCTGTACATTTCTTTGAACATATTCGTTGCTTTGTTAAACAAATCAGCTCCAAAATTTTTAAGAGCTGTCCAGGTTGTAGAAAAAAAATTGTAAAAAAAAAAAAATTAAAACAAACGGGTTTTGAAACCATTGAATGAAAGACTAACTTGTACATTTCTTTGAACATATTCGTTGCTTTGTAAAACAAATCAGCTCCAAAATTTTAAGAGCTGTCCATGTTGTAGAAAAAAAATTGTAAAAAAAAAAGTAAAAATCCTCTCATTTTACTCTGACATGCACCGTCAAATGTAGCAGATAGATTCCCCTAGATAATTCGCTCGCCGGCAGAGCAAAGTTTAAACGCTCTGGTGCAATGTGGCAAATTGTACATAACGACAGCACACAAAAAAAGCGTTAAAAATCTGGCCAGCACGTGAAGCAATTTACAGGGTGTAAATGGGAGACAGTAAATGAAAACCAATCTACGTCCACACTCTCCGGAGTGTCGTTGGCACTCTGAGGAGTGTCTGGAGCGTTGGAACCGCGGCATGATAATTTGTCGAGGCTGATAAGTTTGTTGAACAAGTCCCATTTGTTTTACCGGGCACATTTGTTGCAGGGGCGCTGAGGTTAAATAATACATGGAGGTGTGGATATCGGGCTTTATTGTTCGCGTGTTGGGCAGTGCAGTAAAGCTGCACGTAATTGCAGGGCAGGGATAATCGATTCTCTTATGGCTATGTATGTTTTACAAGTGGGATCGATACACTTATCGTTATGTAAGTTTTACCGGGAGAGGGGGGGGGGTCGATACTTATTGTGTTATCGAAGTTTATGTTTTGAAGTATGGGGGGGATGGGAGGTGGAGGGTTCGAAAGGCAGGTTTGAGCTCCATAGAAGGTCACTAAATTTAAAATCAAATGGTTTATTGTGTGTAAAAAGTTATCATTTTTAAAGTTGTATAAGGGAAGGTCTATAAATTAAAAAATTCAGTTGTATTGAGAATTGTAATGACCCACACTTGAGATGACCCACCTTTGAGATGACCCACCTTTGAAATGACCCACCTTTGAGATGACCCACTCTTCAAATAACCCACTTTTGAACATAGACAAAGTCTACTTTATCTGCCACATATAAATTGATCAGGAACGAAACAGACGATAATGATAATGAGTTTGAAAACTATTCTGAACTAAAACAGAAAGACAAAGATAACATAAAACAATATCAAGACAGAATAAGATAATTTTAAAAATTAATAACACAATGTGACTTCTTCAGGCAGGGTAACCACACTTCATCTGTTAACCAACCCCCCCCCCCCCTAACCCCCCCACCCCGCCCCAACCCCCCAACCACTTTCCTCCTGATTCCCTTGTCGTACCACCGGCTGCAATCTTAATCCTGGCACCAGATGTTGCTGTTCCCAACATAGTCCACAACCATTGACCTTGGCTTCATCACATAACCTTGGTGTCTTCACTTGAACTTGGTGTCGTCATCTGACCTTAGCGTCGTCACATGGCCTTGATGTCGTTGCTCGACCTTGGTGTTATCACCTGAACTTTGTGCCGTCATCTGACATTTCACTGACCTTGGCCTCGTCACATGACCTTGGTGTTATCACCTGACCTTGGTGTAATCACCTGACCTTGGTATCGTCACTGACCTTGGCCTCATCACCTGACCTTGGTGTCGTCACTGACCTTGACGTCGTCACCTGACCTTGACGTCGTCACCTAACCTTGACGTCGTCACCTAACCTTGGTGTTATCACCTGACCTTGGTGTATTCTTACTTTCCTAATCATCTTACATCTTCCAAAAAAATATATTGACCATTCTTTTATCCCCCACTGGCCACAAGATATGCTTTAGTGTGGGTAGCTTAGTGGATTAGTGGCCGCAGGGGTAATTCCAGACGGAGGGTCGAGTGAGGGGGTGGGGGATTGATAGCGTCCTATCTACTCCAAACCCCGAGGGCGGGAGAGACACATTTATTGTCCATGACGTCATGGGGCCGATCGAGTAGAGCCATCTTCTTCTTTGCTTAATAGATAATCGTAGCGGGGTGTAATCGATACGGTGGAATTGAAGATTTACTTGTAGGATTGTGGTCGATTCGATACTACGGTTTTATTTTTTGTTTCTTCGAAAATCGTAGTCGTAGAGCCGTTGAGTTGTAAAAGGGTTGTACCAGCTTTATACAAGCGTTTTACCAATTCTATACTAGCTTTATACCAGCTCTATATCGACATAATAGCAATTTAAAACTAGCTATATACCAGCGGTATACCAATTATATACCACCTCTTTACCAATTTTATATCAGCCTTATACCAATTCTATACCAGCTCTATACCAATGAATTACCAATTATATACCAGCACTATACCAATTTTTAAATCAGCCTTATTAATTCTATACTAGCTTTATACCAGCGTTGAACCTATTCTATACAAACTCTATAACACTTCAATACCAAATCTATAGCAGCTACCTATTTTATACAGTGGCGTAGCCAGGAATTGGTCATGGGAGGGGTTCAAATATGTTTCCATATATATAAAATAATATATATATATATATATATATATATATATATATATATATATATATATATATATATATATATATATAACCCCCCCCCCCCCCTAACCCACCCCATTGCCTACGCCACTGATTTTATACCAGCGTAATACGAATTTTACAGTGCTTGTTATATGCGTCAGGTTGCTAGAACTGATCTTGTTTTGCCAGAGTGTTAGATATAGACTCATTTCTAAGGTCAAAGTTCAATGTCTTGCTACCAAGAACAGCAACCCAGTCCTGTAAATAAAATATCAGGTTTTAGTGATTAAGATTATTTTTCAGACATTTTTTTACTCATGGGTTACTTGAAACTTTCGGAGATAGGGCGAATTCTGATTTTTTAAAATATATAAATTCTATTATTTTTTTCTATTTCGTCCCATGGCGAAAAGGGAGAGGGAGGGGGATGGGTTGTTCAGGGGAACTGCCCACCGGAAATATTCCTTAAAAAATAATGTGTTTTTTTAACTCTGAAGATGTACGTTATCGCCAATGTTGATGAAATTTCAATAGTTTGAAATATCTTAATTAGAATAAAACTTACAGCAAGGCACATAACGTTTAGTAGAAGAGACACATCTATAACTTTATGATTTGAGTGAAAAATGTTCTTTCTTGGTTGTGTCTGTTATGAGTTCAACATAAAAAGTTCTCTCGTAATTGTTTATTATTAATATTAATTTAGCTTATAAATCCGTCTAATATATTGGGTAAATTGTTGTAGCCTGTATAGTTGTATATACAATTTTTGAGATCAGAGAACGTCATTGTTTTTGTCTGCGTTGTAAACTTTTAATTTAATGTGTTTTTTTATAGTTACAGAAAGGGTATTTTAAATTTTCAAGTTTAATTGTTGTATGTTTTGTAAAAGTGTAATTTTGGTTTTTATTTATAAAAAGTTAATTTCAAAATCAGTACTTTCTATTTATGTATGTATGTATGGTTGTAATGATACTAGTCCATACTCCTCATGTGTCCGTATAAATTGTGATATATTTGACAATATATTTACTTTAAAGGTTTATTTTTATAGGATACACGTAGATGTATGTAGGACTTAATATGTTAAATAATAAATCGTCTAAACTAAATTAAATAGTGTCTAACATAGGATCGTGCATATCATCTTCACTTATGATGAAATTCTAACTAGGACTACTAAAAAAACTGTTGTGATGTATGCTCTTACAGAGGCGTAGCTGTGGGAGACGGATGGGGCGGCCGCCCTAGGCGCCGACCTTAAGGGGGCCTCAAATTGAGAAAAAACATAAAATAAAAAGCTTATTCTGAGCTGTATTACAGTCGAACTTAAGAAAATA